CTTAATATTTCCTTAACAATAGAACGTGATTAAAACGTTCAACTGATTTTTACAGATTTATCTCCCTGTAATGTTATGTACCACCTTATAATGACTCAACACGACAGTTGACTCATTATACAAATCATTGCTCTTTTAAATATGTAAAAGGAAGAAACTGGATCTGTTAATCAGTTATTATGATTAAATTTATCAGTCGACTCCTTGTACAAAATGTACAATTTATTGACCTTGAACATGTCGAAGGACGATTTCTATCCGTATCTATTGGTTGCTTTTGTGCAGAAAATACAGTATCTTCTTATTTTTATACATAAACAAAACTGTGTTGAGCAAAACATTTCAGCTGGACAAGACCTACTAATACGCCAAAGTGGTTGCAATCGTCAGTCGAGAGTTATTGCTCTTGAATGACCATTTTGACTCATAATATTCATCATTACCCTTGAATGACGGATTATAATCAGTTTTTGTTACTCTTTAGTAAATAGAAAACATAATGCAAATAGGAAAGATGATCAGCATGACATGATCAACAGCATGGTCGAATTTAACTATTCATATTTTGTCTTAATTTTTTTTTAAACTACAGCAAATTGGGAGAGACTATTACAAGCAAACCTGAATAGCAGGACATGGTCTACTAATAAGTAATCATACTGACGTCGTCTCGTTACTCGACTATACTATATATTATGCATGGGAAATAAATAAGTCTGACAAAAAATGAGGAAGAAGAAAAATATGAAGAAGGAAAAAAAACAAATAACAATATGTCCTCCGACATTCATTCGGGGTGACATTCAAATGTAGATGTTTGGCAAAAAAATGCTGTGCTGTGCTATTTCGTAACCCTGGAAATTGTTCTCTATTGAATGTTTAATGGTTGCATTTCAGTACCTTGGTACAAATAGGTGGTTGGAATTAACTATCAATTGTTGGGACCAAAGTCCTTTGCAGTTGCAAAACATTGGTGAAAGAGACCATAGATATATGACAAATGTGAATAAACACGACTAAAGATTTGTGCAACAATACAGATAAAAGATATGTACAAAAAAGATGAAATATCATCTTATTGAAAAACAAATATTTCGGCACTTCAATAGACCTTTGTCAGGGACGATCTTACAACAGGAAATTGTTTTTAAAATTTTTTTATAAACAGATCCTTGAAAACAACACACTTTGAAAACTTAAAAATCTCAATGTAAATGTTACTGTTGGTAATGGTTTGAATTAGTAGATATAAGAAGATGTGGTATGAGTGCCAATGAGACAACTCTCCATCCAAGGCACAATTTGTAAAAGTAAACCATTATAGGTCAAAGTACGGCCGTCAACAGTGAGCCTTGGCTCACACCGAACAGTAAGCTATAAAGGGCCCCAAAGATGACTAGTGTAAAACCATTCAAACAGGAAAACCAACGGTCTATTCTATATAAAAAACGAGAAACGAGAAACACTTATCAACCACATCAACAAACGACAACCACTGAACATCAGGTTCCTGATATAGGACAGGTGCAAACAAATGCAGCGGGTTTAAACGTTTTGATAGGCGCCAACATTCACCCTATCCTGAAACAATAGTGTAACATCACAACATGGAAAGACACACTATAAAATATCAATTGAAATGGCTTAATTCAATCAAAAGATTAACAAAAACAACATTTGTATTTTACAACCATCAAAAAAAATTTTATGATAAGATAAGACAGATATATGTTGCTTTCAAATGTGTTTTTTTTTTTTTTTTACAAAATCATCGACTGAGTAACACGCCATTATTTATTTATGGATGTCTTTTTGACTATGTTTTTTGTAATAATGACACACATGTATATTCATTTCAAAATAATATAAATTATACAAATTGAAATAATATATGACTTGTAATAGATGTTTAAACGTTACCCCGATAAATCAAGATCAACGGCCCAAGACTACTCAGATCAACGGACTTTTTACTATGTAACTCCAAACAAAAATAATTCAACTGACTGAGTCCTTGATAAACGCATTGACTCTGGTGTTCTGTAACGACATGTACGCCATTATATTTACAACATGAGATATCCTTTAGTTATCATTAACTCAAAGAGGTGTCATCAAGAAAATCTGCCTGTAGAAATACATTTGTACTTAAGAGACATTATCTATAAGGGCCATGGCTATCTTCAGATTTCATTCATATTATGTAAATTTGTAGACTCTTCAATAAAGCTTTAAAAATATGTCAATTTTTATAAAGTAGTGTCCTTGGTTGCCATAGCAAATCAGTCGTCTTAAACAAACGAAAACAATAATTTTGCAGGAAATTCAAATTTGTGGAATTAAGGTCTGTTTAAGGAAATCAAAAATAGAACAAATCATTATTATACTTCTTTCAAGAATAGCAAGGCTATCAAATTAAAAACGACATTTCACTCAGTCTTTTATAAAGTGTTCCTTAAATTATTGGCTTTTAAGGTACATGTAGTTTCAAAGTGTAAGGTGAAATAAGCTAAAATTGTTATTAAATCATGTGATAGATAGTTTTGGATTGACACAATTTGAACGAGAGTTATTTCGTTTTCTTTGCTATGTTGGGGGTCTACATGAGGGTCTGGATGGGGTTACACAGAAAAAAGAATAATTGTCAAAAGGTGCAGAATACATGAAATGAAGGCTAAAAAAATAAAGAATAAAGAAAAAATAGGAAAAAAAAGATAAAGAATAGAGAATGATGGGCAAAAAAGATAAAGAAAAGAATAAAGATGATATAAAAAAAAAGAATCTGCTATTATTTCCCCAATGTAAATTTGTGCAATTGATATCATTTATTATCTCTTGTATAATCATTTGACATCATTTGAGTCTGTCATGACTCATATAAAATTGAGAATGGAAATGGGGAATGTGTCAAAGAGACAACAACCCGACCAAAGAGCATCAAACAGCCCAAGGCCACCAATGGGTCTTCAACACAGCGGAAAAATCCCGCACCCGGAGGCGGCTGCAGCTGGCCCTATATGTCTGTTAACTTTTTACATTTTGATCTTTAAAGTTCTTGACTCCACAAAATGAAATCAAACTAGGCAGATATGCTCCTTACAATGCCTTTTTCTGAGCTTAAAGAACTATAGTCTGATTTCGTCAAAAAGTATGATGGCTGGCCCAGCCTTTTCTTATATATGATTGGTTGAACTGAATCAATCAGGTGCTCTCGATTCCAATCTTAATTTTCTAGGATTGTCAGTTTTCCTACCGGAGGTCGGTGGTTCCTTCCGGGCAATCCGGATTCCTACACCAATACGAACTGACCGCCATGTTATAGCACAATAGTACTGAAAGTTGCGTTAAACACCAATCAATCAATCAATCAATCAATTTTTATAGTTTATAAGATATAAGGCAGAAAACACAATAAACTGTTAACACGGAGATATGTCTCGCCTGTCGGCAGAAAATTCATTTTTGCCATAACAAATTTTCAATATTTACAGCGGTTTTCAAGATAATAGACAACCTGGTATTTTACACTCATGTTCTATTTTAAGCCAAGTCAGCCTTGTTGGTTGGTCAGCCTGGTCATCGGGCACATTTTCTTAACTATATACTCTAATAATAATTGTGGCCAAAATTGGTTAAATTTGGCCTAATAGTTTTAGGGGAGTAGATTTTTGTACAAGTTAACGGACGACTGACACCAAGTGATGAGAAAAGCTCACTGATAGTCAAACTCATTAGTCGAAGGACAAACTGCCTACAACATGGCAAAATAACGTAGAATGAGAAAAAGTCACATAATCGTCTACAAAATATAGCAAAGAAAACTAAGGACCGAGCAACACGAACCCCTATAAGACATATCGTACTACTCATGACATACACATTGGCTTGTGTTGAATCCCGAAAATGTCATTTTAAGCCTAATACCGAAAATAAATATTGTCATTATTTTTTCTGGGCTAAATTATTACACCAGATTAATAACATTGACGTTACGTGTGCCCTCATAAAATTGCAAAGGACAATGAGACGGTTTTGTCGGTCTGATTTAGAACAGTTATTTCAAATATGCTGGAAGAGAAAGATCTCCCTGTTTGTAAGAAAAAGGAACACACTTGTTATAGCGCTTAATTTATGACCATCAGGAATGTACTCTTAATTATTTTACCGTGAAGACAACCTGCTGCCCTTTATCCTAATCCTTGAATATTTCAGATCTCCAAAGTCGATATTTGCTATAATTATAATTCACGTTAAAATGTTAGATTTTGATTGGCTGATACGAGGGAGATATTTTATTCTATCCCATGACTCAGCGGGAGACCATTTTTTGTATGTCACCCTCTCGTGCAAACCAATAAAATCGATAATTTAAAGGACAATGAATTGAATTTACATCAATAATTTTAAAAATAATGCTCAAGTTATACGTTTTGGCCTCAAAACTTTTTCATAGACTGTCAAAATAAAACAAAACATCTCGTAACTGTAATGTTGTTATGTACATGACGTCATAGATATTGACTTTCAATTCAAAAGATAATAACAGAACATTCAGTATAATAAAGTAAATAACACATTGCTAAGAGGTTAATAGAGCAGATTGTTACCCCTCGAAAAAACATTGTCAACCTTGTCTTCGCTTCGGTTGACAATGTTTTCTCGGGTTAATGATATGCACTATCACCCTCTCAGCTATGTATTATTTATATACTATCGTTTAGTCCTGAATATGTAGATGAAAACAACACTTTATTTATTCGTGATTTCAAAGCGCTTTTCTTGCGACTGGACGTTAAGCAATACAGTATAACCCAAACAGTTTTAATGCACTAGATACATTATTTACACAGAATCTGCAAACGAACACAACCAATCTTGGAAAAGTAGATTGATCGATTGATTGATATTAGCTTTACGCCACTTTATCGCAAAAAGCCTAAATCAAAGCGAGCGAAAAATAAGAAAGACATCATGGATATCTTTCAATTTCAAAAACATGGTTATTTTCAAACTAACTAATTCTTTATTAAAATAAATTTTTAATAACCGTTCGATCGTGTTTTCTGCCTCAAGATGTGATTTTCGTTGCCATTTAATAGCCTGAAAAAAGGAATAAAATATATTAGTGATATGTGTGATGTAGACGATATATCATATATTGTATATAAAATATATGGGGAAAACAGTGAAACCATGATTATATTTAAATTTTAAATTAAATTAAGGTGGTTACTTAACAATCCAATGCTTACGGTTTCTCGATATGTTCATTGTACGCTATCTTATATTTCTACATAGATGCATTTTAGATAGGAATAAGGGTGATATTTTTATGGATGCTAAAAGTGTGCTTTTGCCCTTTAGATATGTTTGTTTGCTCATGTTGGGGTATTATATATTGACTTTTATACATATTTCCTTGTTTATTCTCTTTGTTGTTTTCCCAATAAACTTTCAGCTTAAAACACAATATTAAATTACAGCTTTTAACCAGACAGGGAGGACGGGCATGCTGTGAATTTCCGCAGTACTTTTCTGTATGTTCAATATCAGAATATATTTTTTGCAGATTGAGTGTTCCCTATGGATTGTTATCATCTGACATTTTGTGTTACCGAGTTAAACATTGATCTTAACGTGTCGGTCTAGTATATTTATCTTTTGATATTTTCCGCTTGTAACCTCTTTTTTCAGTGTGTTCAATCATTGGAAATAAAGAAGCAAAAGTACTTCACTGCTGTTCTTTTGTCGAACATTAATTTTACAAATACAAACCAATGAATAAGAACAATCAATAAAAAACAAACAAACACACAAAACGAAAACAAAGCAAAAAAATAAACAACCAAACAAACAGAAATAAATAAATATAGTTATCTGTCAAATACAATATAAAGAATGATTTTAAAGATATTAATCTTATTGTTTACTTGTTTACTTACAAAAATTATTTTCACAAATATACATAAATGTATTGGAGCATACATTGTCATTCCACTTTCCACTGGACAATAGAGTAACGCAATCTTCGTTACCTCCATGATTGTTTGGTTCACCTTTGTTGTAGTTTTTATATTTCACCAGCTGTTGATCATAGGACCATCGGAATTCCCCTTCTTTTAAATCAATTAGTCCAATCCAGTATGTAGAAGCTTTTTACAACAAAAATAAACAAACAAATGCAATTCAATATGTTGTTGCATACTGGCTATTGTAACTATCTACTTTTTTACAAAGTACAATACTCAAATATTGACAAAATATTTAGAAATTAAAAATAAATGCTAAAACAATGGGATGCTTCGAAACTTTTACGCATCAATTTAAAATTTGTGAATAAAAATATAATAAGAAGTATGTCAACAACAACTTACTGGTTATATCCGTGTTTGTGATTAAAACAATGAATTCACTAACGAATGAAATACTGGAAAACGCAAAAGACATTTTTCAAAAATGCACCAATGTGAAAACGTACATGTGACCAGCCAAAAAAGAGTGTGTATAATTGACTTGTATGAAAACAAGCTACAATGCATACCTTTTAAAAGTATATGAAGATAGAAACCAATAACCAAGAAGTTATGACTTAACGGTGATACGAGAAAGGCGGGGGGAAATCTGATATTCTTTTGTTATCATCAATATAAAGTGCATGCATGAATGTGGAAAACATGAATTTGATACATTTTGTAAATGACATGATTGAAAATGTGTCAAACTGTATAACCTACCAATATAAAGGAAGGTCCCAAAACTCAGGAAAAAGTTATCTAGTGTAGCTTCGAACAATGTGACGAAAATCATTTATACGAACATCAACGTAAAGAATCTATACGTATAAGGCAAACAGGTAGTTAAAATTGACAGATTTTAAACAAATAAAAAAGAGATGAAATACTTAAGTGGCAATTAAAAATCATACGTGAATAAAAATAGACATCATCATAGGAAAACCGAAAAAAAAGACGAAAATAAAAGTAAAAATAAAAAAAGCAATAATGATTGGGCAACACTAACCCAACCAAAAACCGGGATGATCTCATTTTCTGTGGATGGGTATGCTCCAGTAGTTGTATAACTTGCAAGTATATATACCCTGATAAGTCGCATTCGGTAATTTCACAATCGAGGAAAAGAGTACGAGGTTGTGGTTACTACAAATGTAACATATTCGTCAAGTGATAATTTCTGACACAGATAATCAATAACAGTCGACCAAATCATCCTTACTTTCGTAAAACGTTCGAAGGGATGACTTCAACTTTACCATTTGGTACCCTAAGTGCAAAAGCTTCTATAAAAGCAGGAACCCTTTGTCTAAGAAATCACGATATGAAACAGAAACCATGGAATATTGTATCAACTGGAAATTATTCATATGCAGGAGTTGTTGGAATGTTGCTACACAGAAAGGAAAAATTTCACAATGGGATAATTGAAATCAACTTTTAAGTCTTTAGATTTAGTTCTAGACTGACGCCATTGGAAATTTCGTTAAGATACCTACGGTATAGGTTACAAGTATGAAACCTGGTACTAAATATCAAGACGCTTTGACAGTGACGGATCCGAAACCATGGCATACTGTATAGCTTATCAAAAAAAGAATGTTTCCAAAATTCAGAACAAACAAAATGTTAGTTACAGAGAAAAATTAAGACGATTACTGTTTACACCTGCATCACGGAAGAACATATAATAATGTAGTCGGAAAGCAGGAAGTCGATAAGTCACGGTTTGAAAAAAGTGTCATTAGGATATATGGTACAGCTTACCAATATAAAAAAAAAGCTCTGATTTGATTTTTTAATGAGAAAGATGAGACAAAATTTATCAAGAACAGACGGACAATGGAATTGAAAAAATGAACACAAGATGGACCAACTGGGGTAAAATTCTTCTTTGAAGCGGGGTCATAAAAAATATATCTAAAAGTAATTTCTGATGGATATGAAAATTTTTTAAATTACAAGGCTTATAGTTTGTTATATTAGACAAGAGTTTTTTCTACATCAAACACATGTCAGAAGAGCTCCAACCAAAGGCTAATTAAATACGAAGTTTGCCAAATACAGCGTAGTCTGTAGATGCATAGGGATAAAATTAGTTATTCGAATAATTCAATATTTCATATTCCACAAAGTAACAGGAATTAACTTTAATAATGATATTTCATGTCAACAAAGAAGCGCTTACTATAAGGCTTGTGATACCCTAAAAGGAGGGTGATATTAACACTAATAGAATTTATCCCTAAAATTGGACTTTTTAATATCATTTCTAAAATTTAATATTTATAATCTAGTATAAGAAAATTAAAAACAAATAGACATTTTCACACTCTACTGTTTACTTTTAGAGAATAAACGTTAAAACTTTTGTAGTCATATTTTGTGTTGTTTAAAGCAACTTTCAGATCAATTTGCTTCCGGGACAAATATCGGTCATAACCTTTGACCAAATTTTTTTTTTAAATACCTATAGGGGTAACACACACATCTTAAGGAATCATTAAAGTGTATGTTTCATGTAAATCATGCCGTCGGAAGGGCATAGTATCAAATACATTAAGTTTAGATAAAATTATGATTATCATCGTGAGAGCATACAATTTTGATGTCATAATGCTATCATTTCTTTTATAATGCATCAAACTACATATCAGATAGTTTACACATTTGTTCATATAACGATTACTGTCACGTGAAATTAAATGGAATTTCAGGTTAATATTGCCCCTTCATGAATCTATTCCTTTGGTTGGTTGTTATGTATATGTTTTCTTTTCTTTTTCTACCGATATATTTCATTACTGAACTATATTGAAACATGTAATACATTTGGATATTAACTGTTTTACCTACAGAACAAATCACGTACATAAATGGTAACCACGGCTACACAAGCTGCATGTAATTAACATGCGATAATTACAGTTAATGCATTGGATAGTTAATTCAAACACTTAAGGCGTTTTCCTTCTGCAATGAATAAACTAAAATTCATACCTGCAAGTTGTGATTTCAGCCAATTATTTTCTGGCTTGTCGTCTATCTTCACAAGATGGCCACCTATATGTTTACATTTTCGCTGAAAAGAAAAGATTAGAGAATAACTGTAGAAGTAGTTAAAACTCATAAAAATAACAGCCTTTTCAACTGATTTTTATAGTTTGTTCTTATGTTGTACTGTTACACCACTGTCCCAGGTTAAGTGGCTGGGGGGGGGGGGGGGGGTTGGCGCGCCTTTAACCCCCCTCCCTACATTCTGTATGTGCCTCTCCCAAGTCATGAGTAATTCAGCGGTTGTCGTTTGTTGCTGTATATCATATTTGTTTTTCGTTCATTATTTTGTACATAAATCAGGCCGTTAGTTTTCTCTTTTGAATTGTTTTATATTTGTCATTTCGGGGTCTTTTATAGCTGACTATGCGATATGGGTTTTACTCATTGTTGAAGGCCGTACGGTGACCTATAGTTGTTAATTTCTGTGTCATTTGGTCTCTTGTGGAGAGTTGTCTCATTGGCAATCATACCACATCTTTTTTTATATATTAATAATAAAAACATTGTGACTATTGTGATGCTACTGTCTAGGGCTAAAATGTCCAACAGTAGTGATATCAACCCAGTGGTTGTAAAATTTCATAAAGATGCAAGGCTTACAAATATTACTTTGCACACACGACGTGTGTTTTGTATCCAATGAGATATGACATTCCTTTACTTAAAGCTTGCATGTTAAGTAAAATCTTGTACTTGTCTTTTGAAATTAACAGAATGTATGATTTATCAATTGAAAATGCTGATATACTATACATATAGCATTTTACAATGTCATACGAAGTATACTCTTTCTGGACATCTTTTCAACTATCTGTTATTATTTATACGCAGTCATCGTTCTTTTCGTACTCGAAGTAGCAAGATTGTTGACACAACAAAAAAATGTGACTTTTTTAACAGAAAAAGGCGCAATGACAACATACCAAAGCGTGTTTCATCCTTCAAATTTAAATTATGACGATAAAAATCAGCTAGTTGCGGGTGTTTAGCGAAAACATTAATGCTCCATGGCAAATAATTGATTAAAATGTATATAAAAGTATTGAAAATAGCACTTTATACATGTGTTGATTTCGAAGAACTTTTCTAGATTAACTTTCGTCAGTAACACTAACCAAAAACATTTAAAGCCAAAGATGTAACACTACTTATACAAGATCGTAAGGGATTTAAAAGAATTACAAAATCCATTTGAGGTCAATTTTGCCAAGAAAGACTTAGAACCTAATTTTTTTAATAATTTCGCAAATTATCATCAGTTATATATATACCTATATGGAGTTATTTTCATTCAGAACGATAGGTCATTCTTTCGAAGAATCGACCCGGACGATACCATGTTTCAATGAAATATGCTCCAAGGCATAAAATAATGACCTGTGTGAGGTCATTATTTTCCTTGATAAAAATGCAGACTATAATTTACTTCAAAATTATATTCGTCTGATAGTTTCTGTTGCCGATTTGGGAATTTATTTTTTAAAGTTCAATCTATGATAGGTGTAAAAAAAAATCGTCATTGCCCGAATTTTAATTTTAGAAACAAATAATGTGAAGTTTTGTTAATTTATCGCTACGATACAGAGACATTATCATATATGCGAGATGAATTTTAATGTAAAACTTTAATTACACTTTAAAATAAAGCCAGATTTAACATATTCGTGTGTAAGGTTTTGAAAATCTTATTGATTCACACTGAATAGGTTGATTAATTGATGGTTACTTAACGTCCAGTGGCAAATATTTCATGCATGTTCAGGACGATATACACTGAATAGGAAATCATACTGTGACCTGCATGTATTGATATTCGTTTTCGTGTAACATGTACATGTATCACGATTTCGTGCCCCTTTCGTGTCAGTTCTTAACTTTTTTACTTTTATGTATACCTTTTACTCTATCAAATGATTAACTAATAAAATATTCTTATATTCTATTGAATAACATTCACGTACCTCAAAATGAGGTCGGGTGGGGGGAGGGTATATAATTATATCCTGATTATCTGTTAAAAAATGTATTGCTATTCAAAAGAAAATCATTCTGAATATTTCATTCGATTCGATTCAATTAAAATTGTTGAAAAAATAATCACTTTTCCGCGATAAAATGTCATTACAAATAGACAAAAAAAAAAATAGCACCTCCCCTTTCCATAAACTAAGTTGGTACAATAAATTACTTACAAAGTGTCTTGTATTTTTCATACACCGTTATCAGATGGTAACAGTTCATTTGTGTCTTACTTCATGCAGTTACAGTAATATTTTTATTGTGTATGGATAATAATTTCTACGGTTTATATCTAGATTAAATAGTGAGTTTTATTTCATATTCTAAATGAGCCGTAGGGCGTGTTAAAACCTGAACGCATTAGAAAGGAATATTCCACTTTAGTGTGGTCGGTAAAATAAGAGGCTAAATTTTGCAAATCTTTATAAAAAAACAATATTTTTTTGACGGTAAATAAGTCAGATAATGCATATTTTTAAGTTTTCTTGTCGTAGAACACACCTCGGTATGTTATAAATCATGTCCATTACTGAGCTGATTTCATCCTCGAGGATTAATAGTCCGACAGCAGCGGTAGCAACATAATGTTGGAATAAATGTAAATGACTTATATTAGTTTTCGATTGGTATATTGCAAGAAATTAAATTATATACAATATTTTGCATTGCAACTTTAGACATATGGTTCCATATGTTGAGAGACAGATCCCTATAGGTTTTAAGTTCACTACGTCCAAGGTTAATGTCATGGTTACTAAATATAGTCTAACTTGTGTGCAGAAAAATAGTTTCCGGATAATACATCACAAATTTTATATTCTGTTCAGTGTGTGCATATTTTCAAACAGTTGTGTATCCTTTTTTTATTAGAGTTCAATTAATATGTGTCTTACCTCAGCATCAAACCAGGATTTAACATCGTCACCAACGTAATAGCAATGTCCATTGTATTTCCGCCATTGTTTTTCTGTATAAGATGTGTATTTTTTAATTAGATAATTACAGTTATAAGATCAAAAAGATACAATAACTGTAAGCGCCAGGTAACATAAAGAATTTTTCGTCAGTAATATTAGAAAAATAATATCTGTTTTGAAATTTTTACTCTTTATTTTTAACCCCTGTTCATTCCGTTTACAACTCACCAGAAACATCTTTTGTATATGATAACTAATCGACATGCTCTTGGTTATTCTTAAAACAGAATGTACGTACAATGTCAATAATCATTTTCATTACGTAATAGAATAACGGAATTGTTGTATCCGTTCTTATTATCCAGTGGTCACACGAGAGGGAATCACAATCGAATAAAAACCAACAATGACTCCAAAAACAAACAAAGAAAGCATTAAAAGAGGTTAACATATTAAAAACAAACAAGGGACGAATAAGTAGCGAATAAGTAACAGGGTATTAGTAGAGCACAGAGACGGGTACATATACGCACCACAAGGTAATTTCACAGCACCAAACCCATAACTAATACCAGAGACAAGAAAATAGAAGAAAACACACCTTAAAAGTGAGTATCACATTAAAAGCGAATAAGTAATGAATAAGGAATAAGGAATAAGTAACAAATAAGGAATAAGTAATGTCACGGATTAGGAATAAGGAATAAGTAACCAACTTGACGACCCTAATCAACCTAAGGTCTTATGAATTTCAAATTGCACACGGTACGTAACGCCAGGGTATTATATCCACATTATACATATCTTAAAGGTAAGCGTACAAACTTTCAAACTAATGGCTGGACATTGAAATGAAAACCTGCATATATATAGGAATAAAAAAATAAAAACAAATTAAACACAAACAAATAAATACGTATTATTTAATGCAAAACATTCCAGTGCTGTATGTATGCATCAAACTAAACTTACTTGCTAGATCTGTTTCCATGGATTTCAAATCGGTATCAAGCCCTAAAACCTTTTTTCCGAGGTCAGCATGTAAAGTTTTGAGTTTCTGCCTTACAGTTTCAAACTCTTTCTTAGCCTTGCTTGACAGACATGGCAGTGAGAAGACGTCAAATGTTGCCAGGGCCAGAATAACAACGAAGGTTAACAAATACATTGCTAAGAAAACATTCAAAGGAAAGTATTTTAATAATAGTTTTAAAATTATTTAATATAAATAATAATTGAATATATAAAAAGAAAAGTTATTAATATGAAGTGCATTACTAAAATATATTGTTTAGGAATTGGACCTTTTTAACTCTTCTTACGCTTTTTCGTTTTCATCTCTCTTAAATATAAATCTCCTTGTTTCTTTTGCTTGCAAAACGCAATTAATGTGTGTGAAAATTCTCACTGTAGCAATGTCTTTTATCACAGTATTTATATAACATGTATAGGTATATTAGTATATTATACGTTATTCAGGTCTCATATATGATATTCCCGAGTAAGGGTTTATTCTAGAAATGTCACATTATATACCCTGTGTGAATCTTGATTAAGAGTTATATTACAGATTATCCCTGTCTTCATGTTTTTCCCTGTACAATGTTTTTGTTGACCATTCACCATTCAATATAGACTCTGAATTTTTGAAAAACTAAGGCTTTTCTACCTCAGGATTAGATTACCTTAGCCGTATTTGGCAAAACTTTTAGGAATTTTTGGTCCTCAATGCTCTTCAACATCTAATTTTATTTGGCCTTTTTAATATTTTTTGATTCGAGCGTCACTGATGAGTCTTTTGTAGACGAAACGCGCGTCTTGTGCACATATAAATATTATCCTGGTATCTATGATGAGTTTATTTACAACCACTGGGTCGATGCCACTGCTGGTGGAGTTTTTATTCCCCGAGGGTATCACCAGCCTAGTAGTCAGCACTTCTGTGTTGACATGAATTATCATTGATATGGTCATAATTATAAATTAACTGTTTATAAAACTCTGAATTTTTGAAAAACTAAGGCTTTTCTACCTCAGGAATAGATTACCTTAGCCGTATTTGGCAAAACTTTTAGGAATTTTTGGTCCTCAATGCTCTTCAACTTCGAATTTTATTTGGCCTTTTTAACATTTTTTTATTCGAGCGTCACTGATGAGTCTTTTGTAGACCGTTTTCGTTGTCCCTTTTTGTTTCAGTTATATGGGTTCACATGGTTACGGATACCACTTCCAAATACACACTTTATTTCATTAAGACTTTTAGAAAATTAAACAATTCTAATTGGTCTGAACCTAAAATCATCCAGTCTTGTTGAGAGTTTAAGTAGTTTTTTCAAATATTATCCTTTTGTTAATTCAGTATCTGCAGACATGAACTGGCAGTTAATCCAGTACTGTTCTGTAGCTTTTCAGACAATTAAGTATGCAATCGTTTTGTACGGGTAAAGATCAACTTCTGAACAGCCTGGACATAGACTGAACAGATCTTAATTGACTTCAAGCGAAATGGCTGAACTAAATTCACCGCAGTTGCCTAGTCTGCAAATTGACTGAAAGACTGAACCTGACTTAATTATTTATTTTACGTTTTTTTCAGATCTGTTCAGATTTAAATAACCGTCTAAGTTAATAATTGGTTAAACACAAATACGATTTAATAGTTATAATTGTTAAAATTAATATACCCCATGTGTATTTTAGTCAAACCTCTTTTATAATGCTTTTTAGCTAATAAAGTTATTTTTCATATTTTGGGTTGTAGAAAATATAACGACAGTAAAAGAACTTTATAATAAAATTGAAATTAACATCAATCTACAATTTTTTTTACTATTCATTGATAACAAAGGAAGAAATCGTGTGCTTAGTATAATTTTATGTCATGTGGGAATAAAGCTCCAAACCTCATACACTAGAAAAATAAGTTTTAGAAGACTTACCTGCTATAACAGAAAAGGTGCGAATAACTCAATCCAATTGAACGGAAACATGATATTCAAAAATGAAATGAAATCTAACACTCAGATCAACAATGATCCTTACGTGATTTAATGCAAATGACAGTCGCATAAAATTCCATTATATTGACAACAATGTATCAGCGAAAAAAACCAGACATAATAGTTCAAATAAATGCACGTACCAACGTTGTTTATTGTAATTTCAAAAGGCGATCTGAGGTAAAAAAAAAAACTGAGGTGTTAAATAATTCAATAGTAGTATACTGCTGTTCAATAGTCATAAATCGATTTAACTGTAACAAATCTGGGTCACAAACCAAAACTGAGGGAAACACGTCAACTAAAAACATTGCACATAAACATTTTAAACCATCAGGTAATTAGGCATAATCTTTTTTAAATCAAGATGAGTTCTACATTTATAAAGTTATATAATGATATGTATTGTTATTTGAATCGAAAACAGGGACACCAACAAACCTTTTATGTTTACAATGTCTTAGCTCTTTAGAATAGTCGTCATATCAGTATATTTCCTGATTGTTTCCTATTCCAGATCGAAACATTTTTACTGAGTATGGATTCGCATGGCGATGGATGCATAGCAGGAGATGTTTACTCTGCCAATATATCCGGTCTGGCTCCTTTTGGAGTTCATGCGATTCTGTCAGTTTTTGTTGTTAAACATTGATTTATATCTTTTAACTCGATTTATGAGATTTGAACATCAGTTAACTGATGTTGCCTCGAATTGAAAGTAGATAATTTTCAAAAGTGTATTAATGCATTTAGGTTTGTTTGAATATACAAATGCTGTAAATTGTTGAGCTCATTTAACTCTTTAGCGTTTGTATAAGGTTTTATCTGGGATAAGTGACGCGCGATATTAATTGTGTAGACAAGTTAAAATTGGAGTGCTTCGCTTTATCATACTTTTAAGTAAGATGTGGCTTATGTGATTGTTTAAGTATGGGAAAGGTGTTATTTATCTCCTTTGGGCATATACTCATAAGTGTGGTATTATAAACCCGTCTTAGAAGGGAACTTTAGTTTGTCCATGAACACATCATACAATAACGTAAGTTTGCTTAAACCAATTCCCACAAAATTTAAATGGAACATTAGGATTGATAGAAGGAAGCTTCATCTTGATCGTAAAATTCTTTGGTGGCGATATTCCAGGGATACCGTTTGATTTTGAAAATCTATAATTTGTCATTCCACAGTTATAGTTAATTTGACGGTCAGATTAATTAAAGGTAATATTCTACATGTCATGCACTACATCTAGTATGCTAGGATCAATTTAACATATTTTACACTTTTTTTTTTGGTATTGCTGAATCTAGATTTGCATTGGAATTGTATTCGGGGTATCATGTGATGTTTGCGTAGCTGGTTTTTTATATATCATTTGGTTTTATAAAATGGAATACTAGTACATGCATTCTTACAAAATTTTTGAAGATCATTGTAATGTTATTTTTAAGTGTTGTTGTATATTTATATATAGGCATATGATCACTAAGAAACTTGTTCATCTTTGCCCTTCCTCCTATTTATCAATATGAATTTTACTCGACGTTGCATAAGCAAGATAAACCAGTAAAGGCAACTATATTCATTGATTGAGTGTCGGATCAGATATTAAATACCCATATTGTAATTTTGTCCATATTTAATATCTTCTCCTGTTCTGGACATGTTCCAAATTCTTTATCTCTTTCTAGCCAATATCATCAGTCAACCAATAAGAACCGATATTTTTTACGTAATGATTTCAAAAAGGCGTCAATATCGCATGAAACTAATAGCTTCGCATCGTGATGCGAAACAAAACAGCTATATAAATTGATTGATGTGTCCCAGTACAGTTCTCAACTTATAACATGTTCCCTGCCCTAATGAGATATCAGCAAATGATGTTGCCATATTGACTATCCCAGCATTGTAAATCTTGAAACCAAATATAAAGAAAACAAGCTTAAACTCAAATTTGCCTTGGAAGTCCTTAGAACTCACCTGCACCTAATGTTTTCCTAGTCACTCGATACAGGCTTCTCCTGTATTTTTGTTTATAATTGTACTGTTACATGTTTGGTGAAATTTTAATTTTATTTATTACGGAATAGAAGGGAGCTGATACCAATAGAAATAAAGATCGTGATTCAATACTTTAATCGTATATATTAACATATAAATATTTTTTATAAATATACATATGTTTATTTATATGTATGATACATTTGTACCTTATAATTTTTCTTATTTTCTAAACAAAATAGACATAGTCATAAATTAACTTCATTAAAGTCATAAAGTTTATTGTAATTATAATGTTAAGAAAATTATTGAACCAATGCATGCGAATATACTAAACTAAGTCCTCTAAATATGCACGTTTTTTAAATTTATTACGAATTTTAAACATTTTATCGACAAATGTTTCATTCAGAAATTGTTGATTGCAAGCTAATTAACTTTCGAGTTTGTTGCAGTAGTTTACCGGATCGTGACATAGATAAACTATCAACACAGAATCGTGGAGCAAGTGAAAAATAAGTTAATTGATAGAGCTATGTTAATTTGGTATTATACTGTCAACGCGTTCTTATTTTTTAATTAAACTTTTCCATAGCAGTGGTAAAATGAGTTGGTGTATTTGATTTGTTCTATATTACTATATACCTTCCAGTGCATGTTTGTTTACATTATATCATAACTGTTTCCCTCGAAATTATGGCGTGAAGTGGCCAAAAATCTAACGAGAGGACTTTTAGATAAGGTCATTGACGTCACTTTGTGTGTTTTTTTTAGAATTTCATATGAGACGTCACTTTGTGCGTTGAGGCTTTGGCTAACTCGGCTGTGTATTTTTATGTGTTGGATTAAGTTGTTTTATGTAATGTATCCGTTTTTATTCTGTAGTTAGTCCCCACTTCGGTTTTATCATGTATATCTATATTATAGTCATTTTATAAAATTTACTGTTTGCAAAATTATAAATTATTCTAAATAATAAGGATGTTCTTGTCCCAGGCAGAAAACCCTGGCCGTGTTAGGCGCAACTTTTTGGAAGTTTTGGTCCTCGGTGCTCTTCAGCTTTGTACTTGTTTTAGCTTTCAAACTTTTTTCATCTGAGCGTCACTGGTTGGTCTTGTGTGGACGAGACGCACGTCTGGCGTATTGAATTTTAAGCCTAGTACCTTTTGTTAGCTATTATTCGTGTGTTTCTTTGTCCTATATGTTCTTCCATTTATTTGTATTGTGGTCCTGTCATGTGATGTTCTCGTTTTGGTGTTGTGTTTGACGTTGCCATGAAAGCGGGAGGTTTGGTATGCCACAAAACCAGGTTCAACCCACCATTTTTTTCTTAAAATGTCCTGTACCAAGTCAGGAAAATGGCCATTGTTATATTATAGTTCGTTTCTGTGTGTGTTACATTTTAATGTTGTGTTTTTGTTGTGCCGTTGTTCTCCTCTTATATTTGATGCGTTTCCCTCAGTTTAAGTTTGTAACCCGGATTTGTTTTTATCTCTATCGATTTATGAGTTTCGAACAGCGGTATACTACTGTTGCCTTTATTGATAACGGAAAAATATCGGCGAATTAGAGTACGGATAGGCAAAAGTTCAAAACAGTACATTTCTGCAGATTTTGATCAGATAAATTATTTTCTTTTACAAGAAAGTCGACTTACACTTGTTTTATAGTGAAACTTAGCCATACAAGTATTTAAAACATATTTAACTTTTTTCTAGATTTAAAGTATCGTATGACTTTAATATTTGTGTGTAAATTGTACTGTTAAAATGATACAATAACATTATGTTATGAGCTTGTAATTATTATGATTATTTATCTTGGCCTAATTTGTTTTGTGTGGCCTTATAAGATGTTTACATAATTGGGTTGTGGCCTATTTATAGTTGTTTTCAAAATAATGTTATTGTGCTGTTTAGAAATCACTGGAACAATCGTAGTTACTGATGGAATGATTAAATCTTTCTATTTGACTTGCATAATAATTCTAGAATGATCATAATCTACGATGCGTAGTTTAAACTTCAAAAGTTTTCCAGAAGTTTACCTTCTACAGTTTTCTAGAAGTTTCTGTTGTAACTATATATACAGACGCTGAATATTCTGAAATATAGAAATAATCTCAGAAGACCTCTGAAGTTGTTGGATTGACACTTTTATTTACGTTAACAACATCATATTACTTTGTGAACTTATTGGACATATAAATATTCCGTTGGATTCTGTTACAGTTAAGAAAAGAATTCCGGATTAAGAAAAGACTATAGGATCAGACATTCAGATATTAACAGTTAAGTTGACATTTCTATGTGTATAATATTTCTTGTAAAATTGTATAATAAATCTTGTTAAATTTATTATTGATTTTTGTCTTTTACTTACTACAATTTAAAGGTGATTTCTGACCGTAAGAATTACAAATATGTTAATACAGTAAAAATATCATACTGAATAACATACATGTACAATTATCAATATTTTTTCAGAACATACGTAGAAAGATGTAAAATTATAGGGTTTAAATTCAATTCTAAAGATGGTTTGAAATTCAGATCATTGTTTAGATTTGAGTGTTTGGAATGAAATTAATACGACATTGTTTCGTTTCTTCATAAGACCTTAATATATTAGTATATTTATCAAAGAGTGATTTCTCAATTAAGAGAATGGACATTTTTATTAATCAAAACAATATTTTTTTTTTTTTAAGTTTGAATTGTCACGTGAATGTTACATACCAAATGACAAAAGAAATCTGCCAAAAAAACATTACAAAGTAACTCTTGAGTTGATTTTCTGTAACGCATTTGGTTTCAAAAATTAGTTTTTTGACCATAAATGAACCTGTTCAAAAGAGCCGATGGTTGTTCTCTCTCAAAAACAAAACAGAACACGAAACAAAACAATAGCACTAATGCTTTCTTGGTGTAACTTTGTCTTGATATCATCAACTGTCATGGCACTGATGTAGAACACTATGAAAGTCAATGTGAGCAAGATAGAGAAGTACTTTTTGATAACAGTCTTTGACAAACGAGATATCCACATACATAAATTAATCGACATCTTCATAAACATGTGCATTGCTTATCGTGTTGGTAGATGTTTCATCACTTTCTTTGTCTTCATTTTCCGAGTGGTTGTCAATTACTTCAAGATACCCAGGTATCGCGTCATCATATATGTGAACAACAGGTTCCGATGACGGTGCTGAATGGTATCTGAAATTATTATGAATAAAAGTTAAACACTGGTTTATTGAAATGTAGTATACATACATGTATAGTTTAGATAATATAACACACTGGTCATTGTGGATAGTTGAAACTGGCTTGATGTTCTCTATACTAATGATCGATCCTAAACGTAAACATAATATTCTCTTGTTTGCGGGTGTTCTTGCCTCAACTAATTTAACTAACCTTATTTTCTGGAAATGGATTCACATTTTTGTATAAACGTATGGAAGTACTTCTGTTTTGAACCACCTGTGTTTCTAAAATTTACTGCGTCAGGTAATCGTAAGTTTTAAAATCCAAACATGTAAAACATTGCACAGCACAAAGACCAAACCAAGATCCTAGGTAGAAAAACAAATCCCGTAAAATGATCTTTGCCTTAGGGCTTTGCTTTCATAGTTTCAGTTGAATTATACAAAATGCTAAGGATTTTCTTCCCCAAGGGACAGATTGCCTTAAAGGTTTTTGGCACAGTTTTTTTAAATTTCTGGTTTTACAAGCTCTTTTACTTCGTATTTTATTTCGCATTTCAACTGTTTTGATTCGAGCGCCACTGATTAGTCTTATGAAGACAAAACGCGCGTCTGGCGTACCAGATTGTAAGCTTGGTATATTTTATGAGTCTTAGCAAAATAAGATAATTTTATGAACTGTTTTATACAAATAAACAATTTTAATCATGCAGAAAGCGAAGCATTATATGTTATATAAACATGATAAAACTAGTATATCACATTCATATCAGTTAAGTTCTTCACTTCTCTATGCAAAGCAAGAAAAGGAAGGGAACTTAAGAGGTAACCCATAGATCAGTTTGATCAGTTCTCACTTCACTACAATCTACAGGCAATTTCAATAGAACTTTTTGTGTCAGTGTTGTAGTGTTTTATGTCTATTTTTTCACATTGAAGATATGTTTATATATGTGATCTGTCTCCTTACACACCTATAATATAATATCTCTACGTTTTACGAATTTTCGTTAGAATCAAACGATTTTATCCCCACACTTCTCATTATATTATAATGTAGTTTATTCCTCAATATAGACACTGAAGGTTCAGAGAGAGCAAATATTGTTTTAGTTAAAGTGTTGTATCTCCACTGTAGTTCGGATTGTAAAGCAATCAATTGTATTTAAAAATATATTTGTAATACTCTGCTTAAATTTTGTCCATGATTCAAACTCAGTACATGAGTAATTCTCAGCAAATGATGCATACCGATGTCGAAATCTCATAAATTGTTTATGAAGACTAACCAAGTTGACAAAACAAAAAACCAACAGAATCACCATAATTTCTAAAGAAACAAGACAGATCGCGTCGAATGAGTAGTCGTCTCCTTCTATGCATGCATCTTATTCACCACCCAATATGCAAATAAACACTCCGAAAATTGGCACAATAGTTAATTTGGCACAAATTAACAGATTTGATGACTATTTTGATATATAAAGATCTAAGACTGCGAACACATTTCGCTAGTGAGTTGAGACATAGACATATCGTATCGGTTAACAATTCATGATGATGACAGTAAATATTCTGTATTGTTGAGTTCAGTCTTTCTTCCTTTGTCGGTGCAGTGTTTGTGTATAAGCACTACCCTGCTTCCAAAGACAGTTTAGTGTAGACATAAACGAGTGTAACGTATTAATTGAGATATATAAACGCCATACGATGAGGCTGAGGCAATGTTATTGCTAAGAAATTGAAATTTGTCAGTTGGAAAGTTGATATCATAGAATCTAGCTATTTAATTTGCAGTATATGTATCATAAAAACTCATCAAAGATAGCAGGCTTATAATTCTGTGCTTGTGCATTTTGTCTGTAAAAGACTCATCAGTATCGAGGAAAATATCAAGATAAGGAGCAGATCTTTAACGTTACGATTTTATCCTTACTCTCAAGTTCACCATGACAGTTTATTCTGACAGTTCTGAAGACAATGTAGAACAGGTTCCAAATGAAAGTCATTCATTGAAGGCCATTTCTTATGCGATTAACAAACGTTTGTTGGAAAATTATTTATCTTAGGTGTTTCAGATAAATTTTAAATTAATGTGACGAAAGACATAAAAAGCCTTTCGTTAGCTACCAGAAGAACATTGGTTTATTCTTAAAGTTAACTTACATTGGAATTCTAGACAGTTCATGGGGACCAACTATATGTACTATATCTGAAATGATCAGTAAATTGTAAATTTGTAACAGAAAATATAAAAATGAAAAGCTTTCAAATAATGTTTAAATGCAAGTGCTCTATATTAACATATTTGTGTTAAATCAGTTTTAATGGTTTCATGATTTCCATTCTTAATATACTGCTTTTTGTGTGAAATCTATTCGTAATTAGACTGTTATTTAACAAAAGTTCGACGATACCATGCAGACATTTAAACATGTTAAATTATACTGACTTTTGCGTTACATGTATATCGAGCAAACATTTCTCACAAAGCGGCTAAATAATGCACGTTTCTCGAAACTTCTTATCAATGAAAAAATAAAAAGACGAAATTGGTGGGAGCAGTTCAAACTAATTTTGGAAATGAGAATCAAGGAGTCCCAAGTACACATAATTCTTCTAGTTAAGAAAAGCCGAGATTGACCTATATTTGTAAACACTTCCATGAAAGAAAAGAGCGAGTCTCTGGATTCTTCCTGAAAGAATCCACTTCAAATTGTAATTTACAATTATATTCTATTACAAAACGACAAATTGCTTTAAGATCAGGTGACAGTTACTTTTAGTAAAGGGCTAGCTAGGAACACCTTTGGTTTTGCCACTTGTAACATTTAGAAATCATTTTGTTTTTACTATTCAAGTGTGGTTGAGTGTATATGTTTGTATATATAACTTGAAAACTTGAGAGAAGATGTAGGCTGTTAATTTTGCAAATACCATCACAACGGTCATATAATAACGGAAATAACATACATTCCACTTTTTGTCAGATTTGTTTCTTTTTTTCAAATTCTACTGCTAACAATTACTTACTAGAACCTCTTCCTTTCATCAGAATTACCGTAACTGTTATAATTAATATGAATATTCCTACAACTGTAATGCCAATTATGACAGATCGGAAGTCAAACGTAGTTGTCAAACCTAAATTAGAAAGATAAATCACTTTATAGCTAAAATTATTTTAGTGAGATGAAACTACAAGTATTTATGTTTTTGAAAAACATTTTTGAGGTTTGAGGTGAAAAAAGCAACATAATCTTCCCAATGTTTATGTTAGCAAAATGACGTACCGTTTATGATATTATGACTATATGGATTTGGATACTTATATGTTTTGTTAATATTTCACTCCTTCATGACTTGCTTTTTTTAATTATAATGTGTGTATTGTTATAGTCGTATGTTTGTTCTATGTGGATGTGTTAAATAAAGGCAATAGTAGTATACCGCTGTTCAATAGTCATAATTCGATTTAACTGAAACTAATCCAGGGCCTGCATGTTAAACTTAACATAAGAGTATTGTCTTATAGTGATATGTTTTTGAATGTGTACATATGGTGTTAAATTCCAATATTGTGTAACTAAAAATTGTGTTTATTATAATTTATTACATACAGTTTTATAATTTAAAATGTTTGCCGTTAATTGCTAATCCATGTTATCGTGGTATTGCCCTCTGAGAATATGCTTCAATCCAATTTCAAAACTGCTAGGTATTTATTTGAAAAGTACATACCTGGATTACATGTATATATGTTTAGATTAAACAAGTTATGGGAATATTTTTGTGTCTTTAAATTAACAGCTCATGCTGTGAATTTTAATCATTCATAAATTGTATTCTTTTGCTCGAAACAATATTTTTATAGATGATTTGAAAAATAATTGTGTGATTTTTTTTGTAAAATTAAAAGAATGTTTAACTAAAAAGATTCCTAGAATCAACTGCAAGATTTCGACATAAGAACTAGTTTCCATTACCGGTGTGTCCTGAAAAGGTACATGGATGTATAGAATACACAACATCTTAAGATACGTAATTCATTGTCACATGTTAGGAGAGCACAAAAAGACGAAGAGTACTACGAGCACCCACAGTATAATTTAGTAAGATCTCGGTTATTTTGTACAGATTCCAAAGCTTAAGGTTAATCGTTCAACATTTTATGTGACAGTCACTATTATTCCCCTTTTGGTCGTATTCAACATCCTTTTCAATAAACGATCATCTTTTATCATCTTTTCCATAGAGTGCATCATAATATAGGCGAGTGACATTTTTCAAAAAGACGCTTAGTTAACGACTTTAATGCACCCACCTAACATACAGCTATATTGTATATCATTCGGAAGCTTATTACCTGTACTTTCTATTTTGCCCGGTCGTCAATAATTCGTACGGTGCAATTTTCGTTGAATCAAGGTTAAAGGTCAAATATGAATATTACAAAATTTTGCTAGAATTAAACAAAATGCTCTTTTCTGGTACCTGTATGCTATTTTTCATCTAAACATTGTCTGAATCTTATAAAACAAAATGCCATAATTCTAAATCAAATGCAAACTAAAATGTAAATTGCGCAATATTTACATAAAATTGCATTTCTTAAAAAAACTTCCAAAAATGATAAAATTGCACTTAAAGCTAAATAATTCTTCAGGAATCAATATCTATATGTCAAAAATATAACTAATTTATCGTTTATAGGCCGAGAGAATTTTTGCATCATTGTAAACTTAATTAATATGATATAGGTCTAGATGTAGCCTTCTAATGAAACTTTTGCAGTTGCCCCATAAAAACACTATCTTCAAATATGAATCATTTGGCTTTTCTTTGGCTAGATAATATAGTAAATATCGGAAGAAAATGATTAACCATATTTGAATAGGTGTAATGAAAGTGCTTTAATGAATAAACTAGGTATATATAGTAAAAATGTGTTTCCGATGTCGAAAGATGAAGTTTATTCTCGATCAATATTCAAACGAATACTGTTTGCACAATGCGCCTTTTCAATCACAAATCCGACTGATTCTTTTAAATGTTAGCTCATTATTACATATGTTATTAGTTGTTTTACAGAAAATTAATATTGTGGAAGATTGAATATATTCCCACTGAGCAAATGCATTTACCACAGGTGTAATGTAGTGTTCGCACATTTCGGTATAGTGTTTTAAAGAGTGAAGTTTGTTTGTCCGACTTTTTTGCTTTTTTCATGTGTTATCTGTTTTTTCAAATTGAAAACCAGCTAGATCAGATATCGATGTAAGATATAAACCTTGCGTCCCTACGTCGGTTTGTCTTTAAAGTGCACATATGGAAATTGTACATGAAGGGATTTTTTGCATGATAAAAAAATTGTTAAATAATAAGCAAATCAAATGTACCATTACATCTCATAATCTTACCTTAACACAATCTAATTACTATATGGATCTCTGATTTCGTTATCCTGATTTAATAACATGCGAGTTGCAACAGATCTGAATTTTAAACAGATTGGTTTAACCCATGTTATTTACACTTATGCATACCATTTGGTATGTTTTGTTTCACGCCAACTAATATCACTTAATATTGATATGAAACCTATGCACGAAAAGTTATGACTATAGTTTTAGACTGCCTCATTGTTATATACTGTTGCCTTTGTTCATTCTTATATATGCCAATGTATAAGCAATGCATGACAGATGATCTACTAAAACGTAAAATGACAAAAATACCGTACTTCAAGGGAAATTCAGAACTGAAAGTCCTTTATAAAATGGCAATATTATAAGCTCAAACAAATATAACGGAAAAAGAAAGCAACTGCCATATTCCTTACTTGATACTACATTTTCTTGCGTATAAAATGGTACATTAAACCTGGCTTTATAACAAGCAAAACCTATCACTTGTATGAAACGGCGCGCTTGTTTTCTGATGTCTTAAATGAGAATATTCTGTGATACAGTTACAATTAGATTTAAATGCAAAACCATAGGCAATTGAATTTAGAATAAAATTGGTTTAAATGCATATTTATATATCAGTTTTTATGAAGAAAATTTACTTGCAACATGTAGTTGTAGTAATTTTCAACATCTACATCAAAACTGCTTTATTTGATTAGAGGTTGCCTACTTTAACAAAAGGCCATTGATGATGATTGGTTGAATTTTTGTATGACACCTACACAGTAATTTCGTCATTCATACTAATAAATATAATTAAAGTATAACTGACGGGGATTGTCAGCTTTCTGCTGAAGGTCTCTCAGAGCACTCCGGCTTCCGCCTCCAATAATAACTAATAGCCACAAAATACTGTCTAATTATGATGAAGATACATGATGTCTGGAGTTGGCATTTCAGTAATACTGCTGTAGTCCTTTGTTAATTTGTGTATCACCGTCATTTTGCTAATTTCATCAGTTACATTTTGTTCCTATTCTGACATCGGACTCGGACTTCCTTTTAACTGAGTTTTACTGTGCGTATTGATGTGTGTTTGTTTAGTCTTCATTTGCAAGAGGTAAAGATGATGGTTCAGATCTCACAAAACATGTTTAACCCCTTCGCATTTTTGCGCCTGTCCTAAGTCAGGAGCCTCTGGCCTTTGTTAATCTTAATATTTAATTTTAGTTCATTTATATGTTTCGGAGTTTAGTGTGGCGTCCGTTTTCACTAAACTAGTACACATTTTTGTTCAGGGGCCAGCTGAAGCCTGATTCCGGGTACATGATTTTTTCGCTGTGTTGGAGACCCATCGGTGGCCTGGTCTGTTTTCTGCTTTTTTGTCGGGTTGTTGTCTCGTTAACACATTCCCCATTTCCATTCTCAATTTGATTTAATAGCCAATAGTGCCGAAAGTGATGTTAAACAATCAATCATTCATCTTTACACTACAGTGTAATATTTTAACTACTAGTACTCAGGAAGTGAAATTGTACTAATAGTGAACTGCTAGAATTTTCAAATCGAAAAATAGATTTGCAGTATGTGTCAATGTATATGTATTTCAAGAAATTAATTAGCTTTAAAAGATTGATACATACAAATTTTGTTCACATAGAACAGCAATAAAGCTATCTTTTTGCAGATGATGGTGTTTTGGGCAATTGCACGAGTTGTTATAATTGGCTGTTTAATTATCATGAAAGGTAATTGTAGTAATTTGATGTTGTCAAAAACTTCCAAAGCACTAAATAGAATATGTTATTTGGTTCTATGGTGAATTACAAATGAAAAAAGGCGCTATTTATCAAAAATCCGTCACTAATCTTTTAAAGTGCGTTTGATAAGTGACTGTTAACATCTGTTCTAACAGATTTTCATATTTCCATACAAAATATTATTGTTCAGAAGACAGAGTATGCAAATATGCTGACATCTTGTAAAATTAGAAAGTATGCGACCTTGACCTTTCATCGTGATTTCACGGAAATTGCACCGTACGAATATTTGACGACCGGGCAAAAAAGATAGGGCAGATGATATGCTTTCGAATGGTATATCATTTAGCCGTATGTTAGGGTGGTGCATTAAAAATATGATTTTATGGTTAAGGTCACTCGTCTAATACTGCCCTTTTAGTGCTACAAGGTTGAAGGACATAAAAAACAATCAATGTGCATTGATCTGGACGCTAAATTCAAAAAGCAGAAAGTCCATAAAAACGGACAAAATCAAACGTTAGACTTTATCAAACAAAAGGACTAATGGAAAAACAACTGTCATATTCCTGGTACAGGTACAGGTATTTTCCTACGAAAACGGTTGGTAAAACCTGGTTTTATAGCAAGCTAAACTTCCCATTTGGATGACTTTTGATTATAGTTCCGTTGTATAAATTTTTCAGAACTTGACAATTTTATTTATTTGAGCGATCAATATAACCACACTACATTATTTATCTCCTTTCTTGTTTCCCTTGGTTGAAGCTTGAATTTATAGCCACATTTCTTTTCTTTTTTACCTTTTTGATGTATTAAAGCGTACCTTGAAGGATGTTTCTACAAGGGTACATGTATTACCACTTCTCACCACAGTAAAAAAAAACAGCATAAAGAAGTACCTTTATGAAGAACGACTTCTTCAATGGACATTTATTTTTCATGTTGAATTTGTATGATATAAGTTTTACTACCTTTAGCTTGAAAAACATCCACACTAAACGCTTGCCTTGTCTCACCAAAGTCGTTTTGAATGCTCATGACATATGTTCCTGCTTTCCCAGAATTTATTGACAAATTTGCAATATATCCTTCACAGTAGATAGTCTTATTATAAATTTGTAATGCAATTGTTCTGTTGTGTACCGTGTGTATAATCCCAGCAGAATTGACAACTGATTTATCCACTGACCATATTGCAGTAGCTTCTTCAGAAGAACAGAACTTGACTGTTAGAATTATACTCTTTGTTTGTCGTAATTTGTTGGCTGAAACGATTACAGGTGGGCCTTCAAAACAAAGAAAAACAAGATTAGCAACACAATACCCGTTGATGAAAACGTCCCAAGACAGATCGATTTATTTGTATATGTACAGTATCATACTTTCGTGTTAACAATAGCAGTGTGCATGGGTATTTTGAAAATATATAACTATTTCATGATATCTTAATTTAAGTTATCAAAGTGAACAGTGAAATCGCAAAGTCTCTGGTAAAATTCCACCGTGCTCAAAGTTATTATTCCTTCGAAGTAGTGAACTCCAAATACATACTTAATTGATTTGATAAGTTACCCATACCCTAAGTTTCTTTAGAGAGCAGCCCAAGAGTCTGGTCTATTAAAATGATTGACTGATCTATGACGCTTTGTAGACAGTGACAAAGCTTAACAACATGTTTTTTTTTAAACTTGTCTTCTTTCAGTATCTAATGATAAAAGTGTATTCAGGACGAGAACAAGTTAATGCGATATGAATATAAAGACTGATGTTTACAAGACCGACGCACTGAGCTAGATTTTAACGTGCAAGTTCACGAGGTAACAGTCCACAATAAGGCATGTCATCCTACCCGACACATTACTGTAAACCAACTTATTTTCGCGGATACTTTATTTCGATTTAATCCCTTTCTAGCCCATTTCGCGCCAATTGAATTTCGCGATTCTCAAATTTTCTTGATGTAGATAAAAAAGGAAATTTCAAAGTTTTACATATACGCGACGATTTATATTCGCGTTATTTTACAACTAGCGAAAGTCACGAAAATATATATCGTTTGCGAAAATTAGTTGGTTTACAGTATTCTGAATCCGAGCCGACCATTCTCTGCTCTCACTCCTTAATGCCGCGGAGAAGAAGCAAATAAATATTTTAAAGTCTTTGGTTTGTCCCAGCCGGGGTTCAAACCCACGACCTCCGGAACTACAGGCGAACACGCTACCACGAGACAATATGTTGTATCAAAAGGAACTTAGTATAGTTAAGTTTATGTGTTGAGGACACCAAAATCACACATTCTGTCTTATGCTGGTATTTCCTTACATACACTGCATCTCTTATTCATACTTAAAACATTTTTTTCAATATTCATTTCCCGTGTTCAAAATAACAATTTTCCAATATTTGATGCATACTTAATGCTACTAATAAAACATAATATAAAATAATTATGTTTTACTTACTATTAACATATAAACTGATAGTTGTGTTGGTGTAATAGGTCTTTCCTTCAAATTTAGTCCATGCAACACATTCGTAGTCTCCTGCGTCTTGATAACTACAATTAGTTAACATAAGAATGGACTGATCATCCTTCACTCTGCCTCTCAAAACACGTAGAGCTGTACCATGGACAGAATGTTTCCACAAACCAAATCCATACACAGGCAGTTCAGTTGACATTGTGCATGACACATCTATTCGTGATGTATTGTTACAATAAATAGCCTCACTCGAATATACAATAGGATTTTCTGAAGGGAGAATTGAACAAAGCGGTTACAATGATAAAAAATCTTTTCTCTAAAGATTTGTATAGATCGGATAACCTTTACGAAGGAACGACATTCAAAAATATCATTCACACTCATGTTTGATGTCTGATGGTTATGCACATAATATTTGTTTTATCATTCCAATGTTTGTTTACAAAATATTCACCGACATTCAAGCTTTCGTCATTCTGTTGTCGCATTTAAAAGGATTATCAAATACAGGTTTGCTTTCTTAAAAAAATATTTACAACACCTTAATCTTTTTCCAATGATTTAGTAATGCTATGAATGAGAATAAGTATTTCAAAATTGTCCTATCAATGTCCTGGTCCTTCGGTGACCATGATTTCAAACAGAGAGAAAGTAATGAACAAGAAAAACAATAATGTCACTTATACATTTAAAAAGGATGTCAGCTATGATGCTAGTGACTACTTTTGCAGGAATTGAATTTTCTTATGAATACACAAGACATAATGTGAGAGGATGTAAATGTACATAAGGCAACATTACCATGAATTACTCAGCATGCACGCGTAAAGTGATGTTCCATGAATCCGATCATTTCATATAAACATGTTTTATCATTTTCTCTAATGTGATGAAACTATTACCCATCTAGACGTCAAAGTTTTGAAGGTAGTCGTAATTATTATGTACATTTTCATGAGTTATTGTTGATAATCTTTGTGATTTTTGCTCAAATTGAGGATGCCTTTCATCAAAGAAAAAAAAGAAATATATAACATTCTATCGCCTAAACAACTCTTATTTCATATTACTTCGTTGCATGATTACATTTTCAGCAAGTAAAGTACTTTTGGGGTATTGTAGAGTTAACTGATTTCACAATCCTGATATTTACTGTATGTTTTTCTATACACCTTTTTTTTAAGTTCCATTAGGTTTTTGTATTTTGGAATTTGATAGTCTCGGATGCATAGATTTGCATTCAATTAGACTATTAAAGCTTGATATATTGAAGACACCTGTCATTTGACATTTATCAATTTCAAGTGGATATTTCTCTGAAACTTCAGAAACATCATGTTGGAGTTAAGTAATTTCAGGAAATGAAAAAATATCAAGTAGGAACTGAAATATGTCAATTTGAAAATCAGAAAGTACGAAATATCAATTAAGAAATAAGAATATCAACTTGGATTTGAGAAATGTTATCTTGAAAGTGATAAAAGTTAAGTTTGAAATGAAAAGTTTTAACTTCCCGTCTTTCGCCCTGTTGGTTTTGTCTTTACTTGGTTCGACTGCATCCGTCTTTTCGTATAGTTATTTCTTATTTTTACATTTGTTGATGAAATAAAAACTCATCATGGATTCCCGGTTTAAAATTTGATACGTCAGAAACACTTTATTATAATAATATATAAATATGGTTAATATATTGGTATTGCCATTGGCTAAGATGACCGCCATCAACTTTTCCAACACTTTATGAAGCATTATAGCATTGTCGAGTCTCAAATTTTCTGCAAAGTGTAATTTGAGTATCAGATATCTATTTGGGTTTTTTGGTTTTGTTTTTTTTTGTTTTTTTTTTTTTTGCTTTTCGTTCATGATTTATGATTTATGAGTTTAACTATATACTGTACAATTAGATAAAAAAAAAAAGACGTGCTGAACGCTGCAAAACTATGTCAGTAGAAATACTGCATTGATAAGAACTAATCTTAAAAATTTTGTATTTGTATGCAGTATCTAATGGACTCGCATTCGTTTTCACCTTTTAATCAAATATAAAGTATAATGAATCACAAAAGGAGTTCAAAAAATAAGCAATATTTACTGTACAGTAGTTATGAATTTTATCATTTACTTACTACTTATATATATTTGAATTGCATCTGTCGCAACATATCCATTTACATCAACAGTGCAGGTACAATTTGTATTGTCATGTTGAAGATCAATCGTTCGAATTATGATTGAAGAATATTGCCGGTTTTTCTCTATTCCACTAAATGTTGTTTCCTTGTTGGCACATTCCCATACGAAGGTAATGTTTTTATTTGATCCTTCAAAATCGCAAATAAACTGCACTACTGTACCACTATGAACAGGAAATTCTACAACAGTTCTAATTTTTGGGCCAGAAAAATCTGATTCCCAAAAATTAGATAAATAAAAAAAAAAATACAAGTTTAACTAGAGAATAGTGTTTATAAAAGTAAATGGTCCCTCCATTTATTTGCGTATGTCATTGTTTCACTTTACATATTAAAAAGAAAATATTCATAATTGTAATGAAAATAAATTAAGAAATAATTTGATAAAAGATATATGGTGATCTCTGTTCTATATATTTTATATATCCCATGGCGACTTAGGGTTTGGCATGTGAGATTGGTACATGTATTAGTCCCTTGATGAAGACCGTGATTCGATCTCTAAATTTGTATTGTTGTTTAGTTGTATTAGTGTATACGCCGCATAACTATCAATGCAAACTTCATAAGAATAATGAATGTAATTGTTATACATTTATTATAGTATAATGTTGCTATTCAGTGGTAAAGTAAATCTAAAAAATAAATGTTTACCAATTATCTTTACTTGAATACTATCCGACAGTATTCCTGTTGATTTAAATACCATTGAACACGTAACTTCAAGTTGGCCCTCTGAATGATCTGCCTGATAAATATGGCTATACCATAGTCCTCTTGTTGAACATTGACAAAATTCGGGTGCACATTGACCTCCTATGGCTGACGAAAAACATTTTTCTTGTAATAATCTAATGGTGAAAGACTCATGGTTTGCATTTATTTCTATTGAATTTCCAATAGGCATAGATTCTGTAGTACAGTTGAGGTGTATGAAATCGAACCTTTTCACAACTTTTTCACCATATAATTTTATACCAATTTGAAATGTTACTCCTGGATTCCATATAGATAAAAAGAAGATAATCTGTATATCATTAAATTATATTAGTTTATTTGTAATTTCATTAGTTGAATAAGAAGAATGAGAATTTGATTAATTTCTCCTAGACTCATTATTTGTATATACATATGATTAATTTTTCCGCGTTTTGTTTTGTTACGCGGAAATTTTTCCAATAGTCCTTATTTCATGACGATAACATCTAACTTTTTGCTTGTCAAATCATTTTTGTCCTGTAGTCAAGAGAAACATCTATAGGTAAATACGGTCTGAGAAACCCTGTTATGTTTTCTTTTCATCATTTAGGTGTTATTAGACTAATGTGACATATAACAATTTATTCAAGGAATTTTCAGTTTTAGAAAAAATGAACTTTACAGTTCAGTTTTGTCCGTTTCATTCAAGGTACTAAAAAACTCAACCAAGATGAAGAGGACAAATAGAAATACAAAAACAACCAAATCAATTTGTTTTTGTTTTCAAATTCTCAAATTTTTGATGACTTACATTTATGAAGACCTTACATGATAAGTT